GCCCCCCAGTTCTTTCCTTTCACTATTTGCTCTTTAAGGTTCTTCACCTCTTTGTTCTTTTTTCTTTGTATTCTTCAACCTCATAACGTGAACTGGACTCAACAATCCATGACATCCTCACTACTCAACACCATTAGCCATCAACATCATTACTTTATTACATCATTAAATTCCTACTTTAATAGGATCCGCAAGGATACCCCATCCGACTGCTCCTTGTGCGACTGCCAGGATGAAACAGTACCACACCACCTCTTTAACTGCCCTGCACTTTGCGACCTGCATACCTATACAGCGACAAAGCACAGCTGATTAAAACCTGTTAACTCTGCCATATCGACAGACCGAAGGGCTAGAACCCAAATGGCTGCTGGATCGGAAAAGTAAAGTAGTAAAGTAAGTACAATGTATTACATCATCCACTCCCAACATTGCCACTTTTGGACATCAGCCCTCCACGATATCATCAGTTTATAACGTCATCGATCTACGACGTCATCACTTTATGACGTCATCCATCCAAGACGTCATCACTTAAGGACGTCATAAATCCACATTAATGATATATTAACTTTACTACGTCGTCCATTCACGATAACAGGATTTTACAACAACATCCCTCCCCGACATATCTTTACAACATCATCCATCCATAGCGTCATCACTTTACGCTATATCCATACACATCATCACTTCACAACGTCATCCATTCACAGCGTCAAAATTTTATGACGTCACCCAGGCACATCATCACTTCACTTCGTCATACACCCACCAAGACTTCATCCCTTTACAAAATCATCGATCCACAGCGTCATAACTTTACGCTATCATCCACACACATCATCACTTCACTACGTCATACATCCACCACGGCATCACCACTTTACAACGTCACCCTTTCACAGCTCCATAACTTTATGACATCATACACATATATCATCACTTCACAACGTCACCCATTCATAGCGCCATATCTTTATGACGCCACCCATACACATTTTCACTTCACAACGTCACCCATTCATAGCGTCATACATCCACCTCGACA